CGACGCTCTTCCGATCTCCCCAAAACCCCAAAACCCCTAGGGCCTTTATTGAAAAGAAAAGTTGGTAATAAATTTTATTGAAATAGATCTAATTAGACAAAGGAAGTTGATGATCTCAAATAACAAATGGGAACATAGCTTTTCTTCTTCTATAAATAAGACATTTTTACTAAGAAAGCATTCTTACCTTGGGTAATCTTTGAAGTCTTGTCTGTATCTTTTGTGCTTCTTAAGAGCCCAATCTAGCATTTGGAAAGTAGATACTAAGAAGAAAATGTAGGCTAAACAATAAATTAAGATTAGATTAGGATAAAATACCTCCAACTGATTGAGCCTGGACTGCAAACATAAGCCAGCAAAGAGACTCCCAGAAATAATTGGCACAACTAACAAGTCCGAATCCCCAACCTTTAGGGATTCCTCTTTCAGTAGAACCTGGACTTCTTAGGTTCTTGAGAGTGATGTGAGTCATTAGATTAAGGAATTCAAAAATGACGAAAAGACCTGCAATAATCAAATGAGTTGATTGAGAAGCCCAGGCTGGTGGGGTATAGTCAGGGTGTAAAAAGAAGTACATATTTATGAATCCGAAAATAAACCAATAATGAGCGCAATTCTTGAATAAGTTGAAGAATGGCATTGTATCATTTGAGAATCTGTGTACAAAAAGAGTTTCCAATTCTCTCTTCAAATAATGGCCTACTACTAATGCAAATCCAAGTTTTTGATTAAAATGAAGGTTAGCTTTGCCGTAGATTTACTTTTAAAAGGCGGCTAGAATAGCTGAGATTAGAATAGGACCAAAGTACTCAATCAAGAAAACCTATGATTTATTAAATGAACAAAAGAAGTAAATTACTGCTTTCCAAGAAATTTATGGTCCTAAATCTTTAAAGTAAAGCTTAACTCTTTAGTCAGGACCTAATATAATTGATAATCAATATTCTAATCTGCTTACAATATTCATGAAGTTTCTTTAGTTTATCTGTGAGTGCTGGGCCTCTAGGATCTCCTAAAGTCAACCTTACTCTGTGAACGCTTAGATTTTTCTTCCCTAAATGTTACAATGATTAGTACAAATTTTTCTAAATTCAAATATCTTACTTAATACTGAACACTCCTTAACTAGAATCTTCTTGAATTCTTCAACTGTTGATTCTGCTGGGATCTTTTAAAATTCTACGAGTTGTTTTCCGTTTCTATCGACTACTTCTACAGTCTTATCAGCTGGTGAACTAGACATATTGCTACTGAACTTAAATGATGACTTAATTAAAGATATTAAATTATAATAATAGTAGTAAAGGAATCATTAAGAAGAATAAATTTTCAATGTATAAGATTATAATCCCATTCGCACTATCAAAATTAGAGATAGACTTATCAAAGCAAGAAATGATTATTGCCTTCATTTATATTAGGATCGAGGTTAGTGAAAGTGCTATTCTTAATAGCTTGCTAATCATTATTTTAGTTGAGAAGCAATATGGAATCTCTCTTTAAGAAATCATTGTCATCTTTGTGGACTCTCCTCTTTACTTAGAAATCTTAGTCGAACAACTGTATTTTTTACTAATTGATTGGAGTAATCTATCTTCTCTAAGCCATTTAGAAGGAATTCGGAGCAAAATCAATGTTATAAAGATATGCATCATCCTTAATGGAAACAGGTTTTAGATCTATTGGAAGTATATTTATTGAGGGTAGATCAATAGGCTTCCTTGCCAATCTTTTCTTAGACTTCCCTCCAGCACTTCTTGTCTTTTGTCTTGAATAATTTAAATGGTCAATAATGCTCACATCTTCAAATCCATCCTTGTTTGGAGATATTTCATTAATGTTCATTCTGCTGTTATCAATTAATCTTGTATTATCATGTAGCATATTGCCCTATGTAATGTTAGTCTCATCTACATCGTATTAAACTAATTTCATCTCGCTTTGATTTATCAGGTTATTTTGTTATTTTGACTTTTGATTTTTGAAAGGAGTTTTATCCATATTTACATTTAATAACTTCCTCTTTGCCATCTTATCAATATTATCTATACCTATTAATGATGGAAGTTTCCTCATTGTGAGAGCAATCTTATCTTTTAGTAGCTCTATTTCCTCCTGATCAAGGCCTTCCTTGATGTCAAAATTATGTTACTTCTTGATAAATTTTAAGTATTTAAGTTTCTATTTCTTTTGTTTCTCTGCATATATTTGCTTATTTATAATCTCATATTCGATTTCTTTATGTGGAATGATGTTAAGATTCCTGAGTCTTGCTACCTTAGTATAGCATTCCCAGGGCTAGCTTAGATTATCAACTTTACAAACAGTTGCGATCCTCCTCATAGTCTTAGGAGTAGTTTGAATTTCATGAATAGCATCTTTCAGACCCTTGAAATCTCTATTAAGCTAATGATAACAATGCTTTATACAGTCTCTACACAATCTCAGCTGATAAATATTGTAGTTGATCAATTTATCTGCTGATATCGTATCACTCGAAGGATCTAAATTAATATTTGGATGGAACTATTTGATAATTGTAAGTGTATCTTGATAAACAAAAGTGTATTGTTCATCTAATTAGTCTAAGTCTTTTTCTCTATCGCACAATGATCCTACAAATAAACTGAATTCCTTCCAATAAGATCTCATTTCATCACTTAATTTAAGGACATTTAAGTCAGCATAAGGCATAATGTCACAGAACTTCAAGTTTAACTGTTCAACCATGCTACCATCACAATAAGTATTCAAAGCGTAAAACAATGCTAGAGTCGCATCTCTAACCTCTATATTATCTATAAATAGTAATTACCTGGATTATAAGGATGCTCGTAGTGAAGATCAAGCACATCCATCTGCAAATTTTTAAGCAACTTTTATCTATCCTTTGATATCTAACTCGAGAACTAAAGCAAATCTGTGATAAAAGTTTTCCTTATATAGCTAAAATATTCATTGAGCTTTGAATCTTTGAATCTCTTAAACTATATGCTTTCCCAAGGAAGTTGATGAACGTCAGAGAAATTGCAACCCATTATATATTTTTAGAATTTAAGTGATTGACAATGTTATAAATTTTACAATTAATAGATTTTTAGTTAAGCTTTAAAACAATATATTGACTTCAAAATTAAGGTGCATTGCTTAATCAAATTAATAGCTCTCAAAGAGATATAAGTTAACCTTAAATTATAAATTAGTAGAAATGATTTCAATCATAGTTCAACTCCTTTAGTTGTATATTGAATAACCTTCCTTATCTTTTTCAAAGGTCTCAAACTTTCTAGCTTTTTCTCTTATGCTTCTTGTTAAGGTGACATAATATTTAGCTTTGTATAGGACTAATTATCAAAAGTTGAATGATTAGGATTTAACATAGGAATTGCTCCCTGACTTTTATAATTATCCTAGGATTAAAATTGCCCCACACCTGCCTAAGTTGATGTATTGGAGTTATGCATCTGATTTCTGAAAATAGTTTTATTAAAGTCCTAGATCTCTTTATTGAATAATCCTATATCTTTTTTCAAGCTATCTATGTTTAGTATCTGAATCGGCTTTCTTTATGTCTTGAATTATTATTCAAAGGTTGAGTTATTAATAGACTTTAATTGCTATTAACTTTAATTTTTTTATAACTTTGCTTTTTAATGTTTTTCAAAAGGGTTTTGATCTCCAGGGCTGTCCTCAATTTACTTTTTGTTACCAATGCTTAATTTATCTTAAATATTACGATGACTTTTACTCTTAAGGGATTTCATAGAGCTATCTGGATTCTTTACCTCATCATTGTGTTCTTTAATAAAGTCTATTGGATTTAAATTATTTAGTGGTTGCTAATCTTTAATTTTTAGATTCCTTTGCTGCTTTTGATTTGTCAATTGCTACACCCATTGATCACTCATTATATCTTTTATTGAGTAATACTCAAAATTTTTGGCTTTTATTTTAGTCTGATCCATTTGCTAAATCTCATCATCAACTTTTTAGACCTATGTCTCAAGTTTCCTTCTCTATTCAAGAAAAATATTCCTTACTCGACCTTGATAGTCTTTGCCTCCAATTAGCGAAGTTCCTGGAGCAAAGTCATATTTCATTTAAGTAGAGCAAGTTTTCCTCAAAACTTTGTCTATTTTAGTTAATCTATCTAATTATAGTGGGGAAAGTTGAACTTTTTCCTGTATATCTATAAGTTAGTTTTCAGTGAACTTGTTTTTCCCAAAACCTAAGAGTGACGGTTAACTTGCTGCAGCTCTCTTTAAAGTAAGTTAACTCTGATTGTATTTTTCTAAGTTTTTTTACTAATTTTAAGCTGTTTGTATTCTACTTATTTTCTCAATGTTATTGATATAAGGCATTAACTATCTCTTTGGCTCTTGATGAGTTATTGCTCTGTCTGAGAGAGGATTTTCTTCTATTCTTACAGTTTATAGATCACTCAATACTTCATTGTTATCTTCTTACTCATATTCTTAATCTTGATTTATAGTTCTAAGATCTGCTGCAGAAAGAATCTCCATTAGGATATCGATTTCATTTAATTCTGTTTTACCTTTAGAACTTAATTGATTCTTAGATTGTCCTTTAATCTCATATGTAGATTATCTCTTACGATAGATTGAATTGAATATCTTTAGGTCTGGGTCTATGGCTTTAATGTTTTTTAATTCACCCATAAGCATTTCTATATTTTTCCTAAGCTTGGTTTATCTAGGGTTGACAAATACTTGCTATCTGAGGCCTTTTAAATCTGTTTCTTTTAATTATTTATTTAGATATTCCTATTACTACATCTGCTAACCTAGTTGGTAATTCTCTATGGCATTCAATTTGTAATTAATATCTTCTTCAATTGATTTGATTTTGTTGTCTCTTTCATCCATGGTGCGCTTAATCTTTTCATCTAAGACATTGTTATGAGCATTGTTGCCATGTAAGTTTGATTTTTCATCTTTATAATCAGAATCGCTGAGATAGTACATTTTAGGTGTAACTTATTGATTTCGAAGCCAAATCTCCTTGTTTTATTCCTCCTTGATGATATTCATTTGAAACTCAAACTCATCCTTGGTCATTCTTCTGCCATCATTCAGGTCTTCGTTTTGATGAAGATATCTATTAATCACATTTATTTTTTGCTAGAAACAGGATTCAATTTAAGATCGAAATTTGAGTAAATTACTTTGAAAAAATCTAAAATATGCTTTTCCTTCATAGTCTCTTTTTTCGCATTAAATTATTGGTCTTTGAAATATTGGTTGAATATGTTTGGACCAGATTCAAAATGATTAGTTATTTCCTTGTTTTCTTTAATCAGTTGCCTTCTCTCCTTTCTATTATAGAGTTTAATCTTTTGTTTATCTAGATCTTCAATAACTTCCAAAGGCTAAATAATTTTACAATAAATATTCGACTTACTTTTTCATTTACTTGCTATTGCTCATTTAAGACAGTAAACAATCTGTTTCCACTTCTCATTCTATCCAATCTGAAATCAGCATTAGTCCTAAATTTTAATCAATTAGTCAAAGATAAACTGTACAGAAAAAAGACTAATTCCTAGCCTTCAAGCTAACGCCTTTATGAAGTTCTTTTTTGCTTTGCAATAGTTCTCTACAATCGTTTTAATTTCATTTTTATTATATTTATGAAAATATTTACAAATTTCCATGAACATTTAGACTCAAGGGGTTTTGGGGTTTTGGGGTTTTGGGG